AGGGGGAGGGGGAGGGGTTGTGGGGTGCGCCGCGACGGGGCGGCTTGTTAGCGGCGTCTAGAAGTCCCGGCCGCCGCCGCGGCGCTCCCGCTATGAAAGCGTCTCCGCAGCGGCAACGTCGGCTCCGACTTCGCGTCGCTGCTGCAGGTGCCTGCCCTGCAGGACACTCCTGGGTTGGCGAGTTCTCTTGTGTTAATTCGTTATTTACCGGGGTGACCCCTGGGGCACTGATAAGACGGCTAACCTTCCGCATCGAAGGGCGTGGTTCAAACCCAGGTTGATCCACTTGGAATATACGGTGGATAAAGGAGAATCGTGGCAGGTTTTCTGGGTATTCTCTCCCATGTACTCCACGGCTCTTTCATCCCCTATCGATCAAACCAATCGTCTCGGACATGCACAAAAATACTTAGAAAATGAGTATTTAAAAACAAAATTCAATTCTTTATTTACCAATAGTCTAGGTTTGTTTTTCCCCGAACTATCCAGATTTGGACTTGATCCGTAACATATATTGTAGTTCCATGGAACTCTAACATTGAATATGAAGACTACGACAATACCGAAGATACATTACATTAATTTAAGATGGTCAATGCACCAACCTGGCAAAATGTAATTCAAAATGGATTTGTTTTCCTTCTGAAAATAAAGTACCTCTCTACCAGATTTTATATTTTCAAATTCATGAACCCAAGATTTACAAGTTAAATGATAGGTTTTTGGTTTTATCCAATCTTTCTTACAACTAACTAGAGACGTGGCTGCACATCAATGTTCACTTAAAAAAAGTCTACAATAAAGATTTAGAGTTATAATTAATTCCCAAAACATCGAATTGTAAGATCTACATTTACAATTGGTGTTCTTTGAATATAATTTTTTTATTCGTCCTCCTTGTATGAAAATTGTTTATTATTTTGTTTTTGTTTTAGAGATGTTATTTTATATTCAAATAAACACTCCTAAGTTACACTAACTTCAATTTCTTCATAAATTATTAAATCTCTTTACAGAACCGAGGTACCTCTGATGTAAGAAACAAACAACTAAGTAAATCTCAGAGAACATTCTCAGCTGCTACTGTATCGCGGGGTCGACCTCCTGCCACGTTCCCTGTGTTTTTCCGTGTATTAAAAGCAATAAAGACCGACAAGTTCTCCGTTTCCCGACAATTAATCAGTGTCATTTATCGTGTGTCGTGTTTAAATTAGGCGTGTAATGCCTCTACGTCACGCCAGGGTGAAAAAGGCGGTGGCGGTGATCGAGTGTGGTCAATGGGCGCTGCTTTCTCCGAATGTGGTGGCAACGACCACTGAAGGCCAACAACCGAATGTGTTTCTTCGTTATGTGATTTGCCAGACCCACATCGTTTTCAATCTTAATGATCAGTCAGGCGTGAGCGATAACTGAAAGAAAATTAATATTTTAAATAGTAAAATCTAGTAATCACTATAGTAAAATCAATAGAAAAAAACGTGAAAGGAGGCGGCTCAATTCTTCTGAAGACAAATTTTGATTCCTGAATCAACCAAAAGAACTATTTCGAGTGTTTATTATGAGAAAAGCTTCGGTTTGGCAGCACAGTAATTCTTACTTTTATTTCAATATTTCAGCAGCAATTTCCGTGTATTCGCCTCCACAACGCTCTCAGAAGAATCAGTCTGAAAGTATCAGTGGGTAACAAAAATATTTCTTGAGAGATCACGTACATCACGTTACTGAAGTGTTCAATAAAAGTTCATTCGTGCACAAAATATTTAGTTCTTATTTGTTAAATTATGTGCAGTATAAACTATTAGAACGTTAAAAACGCTGATTCTACAGGTAATTCACACTGCATCGTAGATTGGAGGAGAATAAAGAAATGTATTGATTATAGCAGTAGGCGAATCGACATTCGATTTTAGTAAAAGGAATACTGGACGGGAACAATGATCGATTTGAGAATCCCATGTACAAGAGTATATTTTATGTACTCTGCTGTTATGTATTGTCTGTCATATACTGTTCTGAACTGTAATATGCGGAACTCTTCTATATTGTTCATGAAGTACTCCCTAATGCGTGTATTGTACACGAAGTAGTTCTTTTAGCCAGCATGATCCCTTTCCAGGCGTAATTCGACCGCGATTGCGGAATGAGCAATTTGTAGCTTCCTCAAAACATTCGCATCCTCTGTGGCTAAAGGAAAGCTGTTGAAAGTCTGTCTGGGTGGTGATAGAGTAATGGCAATCGCGCTGTGGAGGATATCGCTTGACATGCCTGCCTCATGACGGTTGTAAATCCGATCGCCGCTGCTACCTGCCTCATTGTTCGCAAAACGGAAAAATGCGCCGCGGCGGCGACAATTACGCAACAGCCACAGGGTGCGCCGCTTGTGCGTGTGTGCCCCCATTCGCAAGTTAGCACATCGACTGTTTCGGATTGTTTGAATAATAGGTTGATTAGTGTTTCCAGGAGCATCAGCTGCTCATTAGTCCCGTAAGTGTAGTGAATTTTTATCTATAAGGTGGTGGAAACTTCCCCGCTGGATGGCTTGATCTGCCGCCGTCCTACACATCGGTTTGCGAGGTTATTCTCCAACCAAATATCTTCCTTCAGCAAGGCACCGCTGCAGCAGGGACAGGCTGTAACCTCCTGACTGCCCCCCCCCCCCGACATATGTGATTAGTGAAGTGCATGTAAATGTGTGTATGTGTGTGTGTAAGCCAGGGGTGAGGATAAGACAAGGGGAAGGAAATATTGCAGCGGTCCGTGGCCCGTTTGTTAGGGTACTGCTCCGGCATTCGCCTGGTGTTGATCGGAAACACCACCGAAAACTACCGATCAGAGCAGTCGGCCGTTAGAATTCTGCTCCAGCCAATGACTGAACTGGACCTAGCTTTGTATCAAAAATCCTGCCACCACCGACGGGTTCGAACCTTAGGACCTCCCGGCCAGAGGCACTGCATTGACTCCCTGAGCCACCTAAGTCAGTTGAATTTGTGATCAAACGTTTTTGGGTTTCTGCGTGACTCTCTACCATTTCTACACCATCATCCATAGCATAGCATATAATCATTCCTCCATCAAATCCTTGCACCTTTCCAAACACGTCCCTAAAGCTTAGATAGCGGCTTCCCAAGAGTAGCAAAGAGTAGCAAAGGCCCAACGCAACACGCGCGTCCCACGAACGTGCCGGCCCCGCGCGCGTGCGCGGTCTGGCGAAGCCACGCGTGTCGCCTCCCCACGCACGTGCACGCTCCCACGCCTCGCCGGGGCCACGCGTCGGGCGGCACGCGGCCGCTTGCGCCCCTCTGCGTTCGCGGCAGCGCGCCTCGCTGGAGGCGCGAGCGCTGGCGATTGATTGGGCTGAAGGACAAGCGACGCGCTGGCTGCCCGCTACGAAGGCACTCCCAGCACTCTCGCGGGCTGAAGGACAAGCGACGCGCTGGCTGCCCGGTACGAAGGCACTTTCGCGGGGAGGCCTGCGAGGTCTCTCTCGCCCTCCGCCGCGGGGAGCGGCGTTCGAACCCCGACATGTTCGATCCGTATTCAGTTTACGCTGGACGAAGCGGGCAGCGGCCGAGGTTTGGTGTTCTCGTGTCTCTCCCCTTCTTTCTTTCCACTTTCGCTCAATCATCACATCATCGTAATCACGTATACATCAGAATCATTCACCCATATCTAGGTATCGCATAACACGTGGGCTCGGGTATCTTAAAAATCAAGATATCGCGATATGCGTGAGATGTGACGTTGACTCTTGCAAGATCTGCCATCCTCCTCAGTCGAGTGTAGCGGGTTGTGTTAGTGGGGCAGGACGTGCTCGATAAGAGATGTTATTAAGATTATTCTCTTCCTCCTCCATGGTCCGTTCTCCCTCCTCCACCCCCTCCTTCATTTTACCTCCTCCATCCTCTCTCTATTCTAATTTTTATAACCCTTTTTTATGTAGAAATAAGTTTGAGATACTTCTGAACAATGTGGAGATTGCGCCAGGCGTATAATCCATATTCACGAAAATGAGACATAAAATGCCTGGAAGACAGATGGAGGAAGAGTGGAGGAAAAGAAGAATAGGAAGAGATGGAAAGAGAGAATTAGAGCAATGAAAGTGGTGAAGTAGTGTGGCGATTGATAATTGGTTTGCATTATTGAGCGCGTGGTCGCATTATCCAATCGACAGCATACTTCGTAATTTTATTGTCGATATGGTTTCCTGGATATTTTTTGATTTCAAGTATGTATTACTGATTTATGCCGGTTCAGTTCTAGCACTGGATGGGAGAAGAATAAAATATTACGTAATAACAATTTTGTGAAATTGTTAGAGGAAGATAAGAATATTTTTGCTCATATAAAAAAGAAAGGACAAATACCCTTAGGAACCCACATACATTTTTGTCCCAAAATATATACTTATTTATTGCAATTAGAGTTTAAACGAATAGAATGAACAATTTTAAACGTCTCTTTATCAACATCTCACTCAGGATTTATGATGCGTTATTAATACTCATTGAGTCTCACTGATGCTCATTTCCATTTTCTACACTAATACTATGTCCTTCTGGGAGCATGGAAAGATTTGGCTAGCCTTGAGAATGGGTTGCATGTTGGAGGATGTGGAAAATAATGGGCACTGCAACCACCACGCAGGGCCGGTTTTTAAAAATTGTGGAGCTTCAAAGCTTCGTGTTTGGACCGCACTTACTTTTGTGCAAATATAAATAATATAAACGCGCTACTTGTGTAATTGGACATATCTTTTCATAAATATATTTTTAATTTTTTTTTAGAATCCATTTATAGTTTCATTTTGTTTCAGTCACACAAGTTTTTCTATCCTTGACTACAAAGTTTTTTTAGATGTCTTGAAAGGAAAGAGTTTGCAGTTTGTCATACTCCTACTCACAATAATTAAGTCGGCTAACTTTTTTCCTCACAAAAATATATTTTATGAATTTTTCGTCTTTGCGCAGGTCCTCCAAGACTAAATAACTGCTTTAACTCATGGGAACATCCAGCTTTACGTACAAGACGCTTCGATATGAGGACTCTATCTGGCCAAGACAAATGAGGACAGATGCGTAATGACGCCCACCCGTCAAACCTTTGTTGAAGTAATCGACATTTTGCGAAAAGGAAAGCAAAATATACTCCATACATGGAATCAAAATATTGCATTAGGAGTCATTTGTAGGGTTTCACTTCCTTACAATCTGTATTGGCACATAACTACATTCTACATTAAAAAAATATTCAAACCTCCGTACAACGTACGCAGTGTTCTATCAACGCCATTTGTCTTAATTTTGACAGAACTTTTTTGTAGACATATTTTGTATACAGAAAAAGTT